ATATTGTGCAGAAAAAGATCCTTGTAAGATGTTTTTCTTATTTAAATGATATGTTTACAGTAAACATGCTGTTGTGTTTCTGCAGTGTGAAAACATAAATCTATTTCTCCTTCCTGAGAAGAGAAAAATGACCTCTTGTCTTTTGATCTCCTTTGGACCCAGAGTCGCTCCGACCCGGATGTCGAACGTCTCGCTCCACAGTTTGCTGTCGCGGCGCTTGGAGGCGGGGCCTGTTGCCGTGGAAACCCGCGACGTGGTCACGCAGGACGGGGGCTGGAGACGGTCGCGGAAACGACACGCGACGTGATCGTGGACGAGGAAGAGGAAGGAAGAGGAGGAAGAGGCGCAGGATGCGGGAGAGTTGAAGCTCGACTCTCATTGCGGAAACTGACGGATCGCTGCAGGGATTTAAATGATATGATTTATTTTAAACGACCTGAATCTTCTGTCTGACTTTAACTTAAACTAAACTTTTCCTGCTTTATGTTCGTTTAGATTTGATCCATTTACTGAGTTGCAGGAATTGACTTTGCCTGAATTCAGATTAGCACCACTGTAATCCCATTACTAAAACCACACAGGGTGAGGGATTACCCTTCAATGTCAAGTTTTTGTACAAACTAAAAAAAAAAATCTGTTTCTGTTTAAAGTTCTGTCCAAGAAAATCCATTAGAAATGAACTCAAGATTCAAACTCAACCATTATTATCAGTATTTATTACTCATGTTTATTCCAATTATTTCAGATTTTAGTGGCTTTCAAACATGTTCAGTCAAATCTTTAACTATGTTAAAAATTTCCAACATTAATATAAAACAATAAGCATGAATTTAAAATGTCCTCCAGTTCCAGTGGAAAATCTACATGACAATTTAAAGTTTATTGATCTTTGAGAATGGCGGATTATTTGAAACATTATTTATTCTCACTGTAACTTCTGGGACAATTTATGGCTCACAAGCATTTATTGTTATTTTGCAGCAGACGGCACATTGGAAGCGTGCAGGCGGTTCACCTGCAGAGTTTGGCTGATCCTCTTCAGCGACGTGGCTTTGACCGGAGGCAGCAGCTCGCCAGCGCCGCCACCCGGGGAGCAGCTTTACTGCGCTTGGAGCCGGGATCCTGCAGGAAAAAACAAAAACGTCAAGAGTTCCTGATTTCATCGCTTTGAGAGAAATCTGCGCTGAGCAAACATAGCAGGCATGCACGACTAGAAAAAGTTAGGGATGTTCAGCTGTTGGGTGAAATTAAAAAATGCTCTATGAGTGTAAACCTTTGTCCAACTCTTTAGTGCTTAACTAGAGAGTTGCACTAAAGAGTTGTGCAGAAACTAGAACGACTAGTTTCTGCACAACTAGTTGTTCTCTGCAAGAAGCTTAATGGCTCCACCTTCCTGGGTTCAGTGAGAACGAATCCTGAGGTGTCTTTGGAATATGTGTCTTTCTTTCTTTATGTGGGTTAGTGTTTAACTTAAAGGAGTTCAATAATTCTCTTTTCTTTTCCTACCAAAAACTGGATGTTAAAGTCTTGATTCTGGTGCTTTGGTCTCAACTGGCCTCTTTTAAGAACAGTTTAGTTTACAGAGACTTCATAATTCATTTTATTTGTTTATTTATTTTGCATATTTAAAATCTCTTCCAGTTCCAGGTTTAAATGTTTAAACTTTAAATAGAATTTAAAGTTTATCGATCTGTGAAAATGTGTCCTTAGCATAACAATATTATCATTTATCGCAATAACTACTGAGGCAATTTATTGTCCAGCAACATTTTGTATCGTAACAGGGCTATCAATACCAACACTTTTTATGATTTAAGTTGGATTTATATTGAAATATCTGACCTTGAGTTTTGCTTTTCTTTGAATCATTCAGTTGTATAATAGCTTAAAACAAGCTTCTGATACCTGCTGAAAGTTACTTGTAAGGTAATTTTGTCTTATTTTAAGTATAAGAGACTAAATCAAAAACAGTGGTGGACTGAACACAGATCCTTGAGGTGCACCACAAAATTAGGATTTTAGATGAATCATTTCTCGTATCTGCTGCTTTCTTTGACAATAATGATTTTCCTGAGAGTGTCCAGAGGCCTGCTGCGGTCACCTGTTTGTCCTGGATGTGATCGCAGTTAAATCAATGGAAGGCAGTAAACTGACCTGCTGGAATACGGAAATATAAAATATGCTCTTCCAATCTATGTTTTTGTTTTAAATTATGTCAAAAACTTCTTTAAATATTAGCTTCTAATCCAGAAAACAGAGATGACAGATAAAAGCTAGAAAAGAAACAGATAAAAGATGAATATTTAAATGAGTGAAAGAAAGAAGCAGATTATATTGTAAGTGAGGATAGAATCTGGTCCATCAAACAGCTACAAGATAAAGACAAAATGAATAATTTCTCACATAAATGTTTTGTTTCCAATTCAATTACTTTACAAATAATTTCAACAAATTAGAAAAGGCAAAAAATAGAGATAAAAGAGGAGAACAGACAGCATAAACTGGAGCTAAATAACATAAAAATAGATAAAAACTACAGTGAATCAATGACAGGATGTATTTAGAGAGCAAAAAATTAGATTTAGATCATTTAGAGAAGAAAAATACAAAAACTAGAAAATAGAGTTTGTTCAATTTTGGGTCAGATAAGAATAAAACCAACATATGCAAATCTAATGTAAACTCAGACACTACAGATAAATATGTCTTTCATTCTCCATTTAACAATGAAAATGAAAATATCTTCAGATTTCTGTGTGATTTCCACCACAGATTGACTGGAGGAAGGTCTCACCTCCTCCTGTTTCCCCATGTTGTGGTTCTGAGAGGTAAACCCAGAGGTCAGCAGGTGTCCCAGCACAGAACCGGGCCTCTGACCTGCCACCATGCTGACGACCCCCAGACTTCAACAGGTCCCGTTAGAGCGCCACCGAATCATCATCTCATGCAAAGCCCAGGAAAAGCTCCCACTGATCCTCCAGGACTTTAAAGTTCACAGAAGAAAACTGGAGGTCTGTTCTGAGCAGACCGTCCAGGAGAAATGTCCGAACACGGCGTGAATCCTGAGATCGTCTGCTCCTCTGTCCCAGCGCTGCCTGAGATAACGGGTCGCCCCTCCCTCACAGACGCTCCGGTCCTGCGCTCTGGTTCTGCACTCTGGTTCTGCACTCTGGTTCTGCTCCACTTACTCGGCTCAGTCCCTCTCTGATTTCCTTCCTTCCATTCTTATTCTTCCACCTCATTTCCAATGCCTCGGCTTGATGTACCAACATTTCTGCTCCAAATGAAGTCCAACCGTTTATTTTGCTCTCTGGTCATTTATAAATATCTGGTGTTGATGTCAACAACACACAGCCACAGAGTATCTTTAAAGCAATCTTTCTCAAACTGTGCTGGTCTGCAAGGTACTGCATGATCAGTAATTTGCTGCGTACAGCTGGCTTATCAAAGAACTGTGTTAAAAGTAATGAACAAATAAGTAGGTTAAGATGCATTATAAGTAAGAGGCTGGTGGAAAGAAAATGATGCCATGAATACTTATACAATTGCAGAAAGTAATTTCTGCAGGAAAGTTTTTTGGTTTCTTTGTGTGAGTTGCCAAACTTTGGTTTTTAGAATACAATTAGAAACGCAACGCGCCACCAGAAAGCCGATCTACGTCTGCCAGGCCTGGGGCTGCTGAGTGAGATTCAGCAGTAACCGGGCCGTAAGCAGTGCTGCTCCACATGCTGACTAACTGCATCCAAACATCCAAAATAAAATTATTTACATCAGGCTAAAAGAAAAGTTCTGTTTCTGCCAAAGCAACACAGTAAATTTCGCAGTGTTAAATATGCTGTGTTAAAATTGATTAACTCTTTCAGAGCTAATACAACAACAGACTGAGTATAATGCCACCTAGTGTTGGTGTAAATTTCAGAGTGTATTCACGTCGTGTCAATTTGACTCTGACAAGCTCCGCCCACCTCCTCCTCTCAAACCAACAAGTCCAACCGTTGTGTGGACGCCATTTTTCTCCTGCTTGAACGACTGCGGTAAGTTTTCTTTTTATAAGATAATAATGCAATTTGAATTGTTTTATAAAATATTTATTTGTTTCCCGGTATATGAGTGGGCTAGATATCTAATACTGAGTTTTTATACGGCTAACCTGACCGAGTGAATGCCTAGCTTAAAATGTCCGCCTAAAATCCGCGTCCAAGCCATATAGCATAGATATTTGTTTCATTTATTATTTATTTAGTTTATTTTTTGCAATGCAACATAAATTAACCGTAAGCGATGCTAATAGTCCAGTTTCATAGTTGACACTGAATTTGGCGCGAGTGATTTTTTTTTCCGTGCCCAGCATCATAGCTCTACTGTAAACCTTGCGTGACTCCGCCATTAACCGTTGCTAGTGCTAACAGACAAGGCGAAAAAGAAGCGAGGCAGTTGAATTAACTGTTCTAGTTACTGAAGGAAAGGGAATTTATTAATTGTCTAACTTGGATAAGAGTGCAAAGAAGTAAAATTAATTTGCGCCAAGCCATTATTGTGTAAACTTTAATCATTGTTTTCTATGAAAACGATGTATTGGTTTGTGAAGCAGTTGGCACATTTTTCATAAACTGAAATCATTCCAGTACTAAAGATGAATGACTGAGGAATTATGTGCTGCAGGAACCATGTTGATTAAAACAAGACTTGGCCAGCTGCAAAAATTTGTCCGACTAACGGAGCCGAATCTGAAGGAGTTTTTGACAGCAGGTAAGACACTGGGAGCTTGTAATGTTACTTGACATTGTTTATTCAAAAGTAATGTTCCAGAATTTATGTGCACCTGTGAGTATTAGAGCAACATAACCTCATAATTGTGGTTTAGACAAGCATTTGTCTTTTTCTCTGGCATTTGCAAAATTTGGCCTGCCAACTGTAACAGAGGGCGTGAAGGTTGTTGACAGTTCAGGGACTGAGTTGGATGAAGATGTTGTTAAGGATCCCTCTGCTAACCATCAAATATGAAACTGGTTTGTTATATTTGTAATTCATTTTAGTATTTAATAAGCTTGCTATTTCATTGTGATTACTGTTTTTTGTCTTTCATCTGCTTCTCTTATGGTTAGAATTTGTCTCCATGATGGAATTGCCTGAGGAAATCTCAGCCAAGCTCATTCTTGTTTTTGTAAGTTGAAAGATTTTCTTATATTTACTAGCATCATCCGAAGAAGGATCTTGTCAACAAGGGCTTGGGACCAGCTGCTAGACGAGACACCAAGTTTGTTCCAGAGACTGTCCTGAGTGAAGAAGAGTGCAAGGAAGCCATCGCACTGATTAAGCATTCAGCTGATGAGGACAAAATCAAGAAGATGAAGCTCACATTTGACTTCCGGCGCAACATGGTCCTTGACCCCCAACGGTCAAGCAACATACTCTCTGTCTTCCCACGTTTCAAAGATGTCAAAGGCTTGGTAATTATTTATTTTGATAATTTTACAGTCATGTAAAAATAGTTTATTTTTGAGACAAGTCAAAATGAATACAGTTAAAGTGGCTGGGAAATGTTTTAAGCTTTTTACTATCTACATCCTAGGTGGAGCAGGATTTTGTCCTGATGTTTGGAGAAGATGTGTCTGGCAAGTTTCTGGAAAAATGGACGACCACGTTCAAGAGAAAGATCATCCAACAATGCAGGGAGCTTCCAACCACCAGTGACCTTGAAGAACTTCTCCTGGCAGCTGATACTCCTGAGGATAGCACTGAAGTGGATAATGACATGAGTAAGGATGACTTTCAACAATATGAATTCAATTATTGTGTGAGCTTCACTTAGTGATATACACATAATTTAAATTGTGTAGTCACTAGGTTTTGATGGTCAATTCAACATCAAATATTTCTTATCACAGGTTGGGACAGTGACCTCTCATCGATTTTGCTGCTGCTACACCTGATTCCCCCCTCTGCCTTGGTCGTAAGAGACAGGGAAGGTATCTGCCTCCCAAGCAGAGAAGCGTCTTGTGGTCTTCAAGAAGGTTTGTATTTGTTGCAAATTTTATTGTTATACTCGAGGTTGTTTCACTAGGAGAATTTCAGTTTTACGGTGATATCACATAGTTAAATGCTGTTTTTCATATATCTGTTTTTTTGTGGAACATTGCAGCTTTGTAATTATATTGTTCTTTTCTTTTTCCCCCCACAGATAGGAACCAAAGAACATCTTGATGCCATCACGACGAGCACACAACCCTATCTCCTTGCTGTGGGATGGAGGAAGAAAGTAGCCCACCAGTTCTTCATCATCCTTGACAAGAATGCCATTGCTTGCAGGTCAACATCCTCTTTTGGTGCTTTTGATGAACTGTTTTAAGGCACATTACGTGTTTGCCACAACATACATGTTCATGGTTACTTGGATGGAAAAACTCTTTGCCTTAAATGTACTCTGTCAACTTCGAGCCGTCAATGGGATGTACACCATGTGATGTTACTGTGACAAAAGTTAACAGTGGATATTAAAATCTGCTCTAATTCAATAAATAAGTTAAATGCATTTCTGTGGTAATGTGATTTTTATTCAGTTGTACATTTCACTCTACAAAAGTGTAAAATAGCACTTCATATTTATCTGTGCAGAGTTGTTTTTTCACAGCTAAAGAGTAAGTTATCTACACAGTGGAGTGTCAGTTTAACACTCATAGGAGTTATATGAGCCTCCAGTGTAAACTCTCAATAACTCGATGCAGTGTTAAATAACATAAGAACCAGAGTAGTTTTTTCACCATTATGGAGTAACTTCTTAACTCTGATTAGAATCATATTTACTCTTATCAGAGTTATTTGACTAGGAGTGTTAAGTTTTATTAACACTGCACTGTGTTAGTCAGTGTAAAATTTTTACTCGATTTAGAGTTAAATTTAACTCTGAAAATGTAACACTGTTGAAAGAGTAAAATTAACACCAATTCCGATAGGGAACATATAGACTCGGAAACAGTGTTAAATTCAACTCTATAGGTGTTGCTTTAACACTGCCAAATTTACTGTGAACTCAAGTCTATTTTTCTTCTATCATACTCCTAAACTACAAATAGCATGAACATGTTATTAAAGCACATTTGTTGTAAAGAACAACAACTGAACAACTTTGATTTCCATGTCTTCCATCATTGAAATCCACGTTTTCAGACTCTGTAAATAACCCAAAATAGCTCAGACATTTTGTTAGCAAGCTAAGTAGTGAGTTAGCAAGCTAAAAATTTATCTTGCTAACTCAATATTAGCTTCAAACTAAGTATTTCATTAACAAGCTAAATATGTATTTTCAATTAGCTCCAGATAAAATATTTAGGTAGTTAGTTAAGATCTTAGCCCACTACCTTAATTGGCCAGCTAAATATTACTTTGAAGCTAAATATTGAGTTAGCAAGCTGAATATTACATTTACTGACAGTATTTAGCTTCAAGTTAAATACTTATCTTACCTGCAAACTGATTTTTAACTAGTTGTAAGCTAATTATTTAGCTTCAAACTAAATATTTAGCTTTAGTTTTAAGCTAAATATTTAGCAATACAAACAGCATAAGTTGCACCTGAGAGTTTATACTGGTTTCCACTGCCATAGGCGACTGTCACTCTAAATAAACTTTTATCTAAATAAACTTTTATCTAAATAAACTGTTATTCAAATATATTTATTTTTGTCAGTATGACCTCAATTCTGAAGTTATTAGAACTGATAGTAGAGCTGGTACTGGAGCTACTGGTTGCACTGGGAACGCCAGTCTGCTCAATAAAAGGGAGGGAGAGATGTGAGCCTGCAGGCGGCCAAAGCCGTGTCCTGCTTTTGTCCAGCAGTTTCCAGATCAATAACCATGTTTATTGGTGGCATTACTAGTTATTTGGTGAGAAAATGAACATGAGATGTTTTCCCTATGTGGACAGAATCATAACAGAGATTCTTAAGAATTCCCATGTTTAGGTATGGATGGAAAACCTGATGCTCTATTTACAAGTAAACAAAAATAAATGGATAAGAGTGACATGTAAATCCAGAAAAGGTTAATCTAGGATAAAAACTGCTTAGAAAGTCTTTTAAAAATAAATAAATATCCTCATTCTGTTAAACTGTGACTATCATTGGAGTCAGCAGCGAACTCTGACACTTCATGGTCGCTAAAACAAAAGCAGCTCCACCTTTGAATCAGTGCTATTGTCTAAACGAAGCAGCTTGTCTGCACACGTCTCAGACAGACCCCCTTGTTCGTGGACATTTTCCCACTAAAAGCTGCAAAGAAGCGACTCAAATGTTGAGCTGAACAACTGTGCAATAAAAACTTTTTCAAAAAGAAATAAAGTGTGTCACTGCCTTTTATTTAATATTTCTTCCCTCAGTGTGATCTTTGAACGACATCGATCGCGGAGCATCTATAATGTTGCCCTGAGGATTCAATTAACTAGTGGGGACATGAAATCAATGGCGACTGTGGATCCAAACAAAAACTTCACAGTAAAAACTCATTATAACTACAATTTGTCCTGAATTTGCACTAAATAAGTAAGTCAAATTGAATTTAACGGCATTAAATTGTTATTGTTCTTAGCAACTGTGAATTAGTGCTATAAAATTAAACTGTTTCATCATTATAGTTATTTTTGTAGCTTTGAATTATTGTTATAAACACAGAGTGAAATGTAATTATTATTAATATCATTTGTTCTAACTGTAGAACAAATTATACTTACTTTACTTACTTTGTAAGTAAATAATAAAAATAATGTGTTGTGATTTGGTGTTGTAAAAATAAGCTGAATTGAATATATGTAGACATAATATATAATATACATTATATACACATATATTATGTCTATAATATAGTTATACCTGTATGATTATCCTATATACATAAATTATATGTATGTAATGTAATTATATTATCTATATAATGATATGTAATATTATTATTATTATTTCATAATATTACATATTAACATTATATAAGTAGTAGTAGTCATATTGTATAACGTCATACTTACTATAATATTGACCTTTTTATTAATAGAAGAGGCAAAAACTATTTCAAAGTTAATCAGGAGTTGAATGCTAATTTTTTTAAATTAAAATCCAAACACAATTGATCATTAATAAAATGCTAAATAAAACAAAAAAGGAAATATCTAAAAATATGAAGTGATTTCTCCTGGACTAGAAGTTTAATCTTTATATTTTAATGATAATAATGTTGTAATCACGTTTACAGGTAGATTTTTAAAGAGACAGCATAAAATTACAAGTGGTTTAAACTTTTGCACAGATCTGTGAACTCTGTGATTATTTCATTTGTAATTCATTTAAATGTGACCAGCAAGTGTTTTTTTTTTTTCCTGATGTGGTCACTTGTGTATGTTTGTACATGTTGATCAGCAGGGATGGATGAGTTGGATGGACCCTCCTGTCGCGACCTTTGTCCTTTAGAATCAGATATGGCCGCCCCGGTGTCCTGCAGAACACAATCGTTCTGTGTGTGATTCACTCTGCTGTGGCACTCAAACAAGGGCCGTAACTTATTCCAGGTCCCATATCTGCCGGCGCTGCTCCGAACAAAGTAAGACTGATGGTGTGTTCGGGCTGTTTGTCCCGCCGGAGCGTGCTGAGCCTGGTCCACTTCCTGCGCCGGGCCGAGCAGAGACGGGTCCACTTCCTGTGCCGAGACGGGGGAACGCCCGGGAAGGCACGCCGATAAAAATACAGCGGGAGGGGCGCAACATGAAGCACAGCTTGGTCATAATGTTCTGTAGCAAACGTTTGTCTTTTCTCTTGAGAATCGTTTTTAAAAATACATTATTTTATTATTATTATATTATTACTTTTATCTGTTCCTCCAAATAACATTTAGTATTTGAAGGGGCAGTATTGTGTTATTGCGTGTTTTCCAGACACATTTATAGCACAATAAAGTAACTATGTTTCCTTCAGGTGTTAGAAAAATGCTCTCTATCAAAATGACTGAAAAGAAGTTTTACTTCTTAATTTAATACCTTCAAACTGGGCCTCTGTTTCTTTAAAACTCCTCCTCTTTCTGCAGCTCCACCCTCAGAAAGTCATCACAACATGGCTTCTCTGTTAGCCCGTTAGCAAAGTTTCTACCAGCGTTTCATGGAGAAGCAGATCCTATGATGAGATCAGCAGGTGTGCAGCTCCACCAGGTGTTTGCTAAGTGCTATTGGCTAGTCTGAAGGAGCTGAGTGGGGAGGAGCTATGCCTCTGAGGCAGATCGGGTCCATCCAGGTGTTTTTCACAGCTGATTGGTTGCCATGCAGATTAAAGGATTTGCATGAAAGAATCAAGGCAAACTCCAGGTTTATTTTTGATGAGGGAATAAGATTACAACTCAAAACCGATTTTAGATTATAATCCAAGTTTAATCCTGCTGATAAAACTCGACTGGACCCGACTAACGGCACACAACTACTACAACAAATTTTTAGTAATTTTTATAGAGCCACCATTTTATTTTATCCTTTGGGTTTACAACCTAAATATTGACTGGAAAATTATGCAAAAAAATCCCTAACTTGATTTCCAACACAATGACAATATATATATATGTTTAGGTTAGGTTTATATATTATTTTCCTTCCTGAAAGCTTCTTGCCTCCCTTCCACTTGCTGAGGGTCACAGTTATGCAGCCGAGCAGCAGCAGCAGCAGCAAACGCACAACTACAGCAATAAAACCAGGAGCTGCTCCTATTTTCATTTCAAAGGTGTGAACGATTCACTGGGCTCCTTCAGGAAGTGGTCAGACCTCTCAAGACAACCATTGTTTCTCAGACGTCTCATTGGTTCTGGGGCTGAGAGCGACGGTTCAGCATCAACCAGAACCAAAGAGATGAACTCACATTGATGTCCAGACTGCAGAGGCTGAGGGCGTCTGCATCTCTGCTGGTCTGCTTTCTCTTCTTCTGCAACACAAAACACAGGAAGCAGGATTTTAAGCGCAGATATGATTTAAACCACCTTGATTTCCGCCAAATCTAATTGTAATTGGTCAGTTTCTGGAGGTTTTATTTGTGCTAGATTCATCTGTAATTAATCACAGAGTGTTAATTATGTAAGTGTGAAAAGCAGGAAGTTTAAGAGAATAAAGAAAATATTTTTCCTAAAGTCTGATTGGCTAGTCTCAACCTCCCTTTAGTTCATTGTCTGGTAAATATGAGAGAGCTCCTAATTGGTCCAAAAAAAATCCCCTCAATAAGCCAATTAAAACTTAATCCAAAATTCACTCATCAGTCAAAAATGTTGCACAGATTTTGCTAAATTTCCACAAATGTGCCCAATGAACACAAAGAGATAGCATGTAATTTTAAT